TAAAAATTCACGAAGATCCGTATCGGTTTTGCAAATTTTAGACTAAATTACGAACAATTTGGGATGATGTGACATATTTGCGACTGCTTTTAATACTAACCAAATGTTATGAGTGCTTTTAGCTTTTCGAAGAAGGTGGTAGACAAAGTTATGTTGAGATAGGAATAAATTGTTAGGTTGGGTCAGGATGGCGTTGAATCTTTTAAAACTTAGCTATCTAAGATAATGTATTTTTATACTTCTTTATTGACATGTTTTTAAGTGCTTTTAATTGTAATCAAATATACAGTGTGTTAATTAATTTTATCGTACTCGACGTCATCATTGAAAGTATGCAACCAACATTACAGTACTCGTATTGCAATATGAGTACTGTGGTATTGGTTGCATACTTTCAATGATGACGTCGGATACGATAATTAATTAATATACTGTATTACTCAACATAATATAGTATAAAAATAATGAACATAAAGTTTGTGAAAATGTTAACTTCAAGAGGTAATTATACGCGTTTAACTATTGATTTAGTGGTAATTATGGAACTAGGGCTTACAATACCAGGGTAAATTTCAATACTGGTATTTTGAAATATTACAACAGCATGTATATAAAGTGATATAAACATTTTATTTTTTATTTTGTGTGTAAAATTCGGACTGATATTTATGTTGAAAGATAAGGAGAAACAAATTGAGTTAAGAAGAGAGACAACTTAATTTTAAACAGTGCTCAATAACAGTACAATTCTGACTAATATGTGGAAGTATAGATCTATTGAAAAAGCAAGTGATATAGAAAAAGAATATTTGTGAAGCTAAAGATGGGAACAAAACTCAAAGAAACAGAGAAGAACAAATAGTCAGAACAAATAATCAGAACAAATAGTTCTGGCCACATCATCGTTATCATTATAGCATCACTTACATCATTAATAAGCTAAAGAGGTGTCGCGCTGTAAAGTAACTGCAAGTTTCGGGGCCATTTAAATTCTGCAGAAATGAATTATACAGTCTGCTACTTTATATGATACTACTTTATATTTCTATCATGCCTGCATCAACCTACCATCAAGTTTACAATCAGACAACTCCGTATAAAAGTTTACAACATCTCTGCAACCACTTTTGTATTTTGTTTCTCTCAAGTCAAGTATATACTGAGTGAAATCACTATCAAGATTGCATCATTGCTTCATCTATCTAGATTCTTTCAATATTGCATCAAAGTCGCCAATTCTGCTTAAAATCTTTATCATACCTCCATCTAGTTTGTGCCATATTTATATAGGGTGTCTCCGAAATGCGTGTACAACGGAAGACCACAAATTTCTTTGCTCAAAATAGGTCGATTTAAGTTATCTATATCCAAAGTTGCTTGTTAAGTCAGTGTAACTACGATGAGGTTTTGTCATTACAATGACGTAAACAAGGCTTGCAGATATTTAAAAATACCTTTCTTCCGGCTTAACCATTTACGTAATCAAAATCTTATAAGGGACAAAAAAGTTTCAGAACTAAATGGGCTATTCAGAAATTATAATAATTTAATTGTCGCCAGTAAAAACCAGTAAAACCAGGGACCAGTAAAAAAAATATGGGGTTGGGTTGGGTTGATGACTTTCCATCATTACTGTATATGGAGAATTTTGTAAAATGAACATCATGTCTTCATCGACTTTTCACCATATTTCTATAAACTCAAGTTTATACAAAGTCAACTTTCCTCCAAGTCTGCACCTAGAAATGCTTTTTCATCATTGCATAAAATTTTCATACAGTCCTTATTAAGTCTACATCAAATCTTTAAAGTGAACAATCTGTAATTTGCCTCATGAGTTTGATATATAAATTACACCTCCATTGCAGTACTATAAATCTCTATCATGCTTGCATCTAGTCTCTATGAAGTCTGTTAAATACATCATAATAAATCTTCAACATGTTTCTATCAAGTCAAGTATCCATAAAGTCTTCTTGAAGACATATGACTAGGTTATACGACACAGTTTTTAGATAGTTCAAATTTTTATCCATTTATCTATACAGAATCAGAAATCTGTATAACGATAAATTTTGGTTCTGTGTAAAAGTAGATAGCTGATAATGTAGTTTTTATAGGGACTCGATGCAGACTTAATAGAATCTTGGTGTTAAGACCGAGAATCAAGGTAAAGTTTAAAGTGGATTTGGTGGAGACTCACTATATCAATTAAGTCACCAAGCATAATAGAGATATGATGCAGACTTTAAAGACTTGATGCAGATTTAATTAGAATAGTATCGAGATTTTAAGCAACCTTGAAGAAATCTTGATAGTAGTATTGATGCAAATCCAATAGAGATATGATACAATCTTGATAAAGACTTTACTCTAGATCGACTTGACTTACCAGAAACAAATTACAAAACTTGATGTTGAGAGATGTCTTAATGTAAGCTTGATGGAGAGTCGATTTAGATATGATAGAGATATAAAGTACCCTTGATGGAGACATATTGCATATAGACTCCTAGATGTAGTTTTGATGCAGGAGCAATAGATGTTCGACAGAAACATGTTGAAGATTCGAAGATATGATGTAGACTTTCTACAGATTTAGCTCAATGCAAACAATAGATATTATAAGTATTGCAATGGTATTAATGTGGATATATTAAACTCAAGAAGCGTATTAGAGGTTGCATATTTCGAAGTTATCCTAATTTAAGCTTGATAGAGAGTTAATGATAGATATAAAGGAAACTTGATGGAGGCATATTGCAACTACATTCCTAAATTTGATTTTGATGCAGGTCCATTAGATATTGGATGCAGTCTTCATGCAGACTTGGCTAGATAGAAACATGTTGAAGACTTTATGTAGAGATGATGTAGACTTTATATGCAGTTATCTCGATGAAGACTTGATGGAAGCATCATGCAGACACAATGCATTTATCAGTCAGAGGATTAATGAAGATTTGCTCCTTCAAGGCACCGATTTAATAAGAACTGTCCAAAATCCCAGTCCACTTCTGAAAAATGGTTTAAATTGATTTACGCGTTTTCGAATTATAAAAAATAAAAGAATTTATTTTGCTAACTTTGAAGTCCTCTACCGGCAAAACGAAGCAACTTTGGGTATAGATAACTTAAATCGACCTATTTTGAGCCAAGAAAGCTGTGGTCTTCTATTGTACACACATTTCGGAAACACCTGTATATGGAGAATTTTGTGTAACATAAACACAAACATCGTCTCTGCATCAACTTTTTATCATATTTCTATAAACTCAAGTTATATAGATATTTGGAGCGGTCCTCATGGAGACTATGGAGACTTGGGTTAACAGAAAGATGTTGAAGATTCGAAGATATGTCTGTATGTAGACCTTATACAGATTTATCTCAATGTAGACTTGCTGGAAACTCGATTCAGTTACAATAGATATTAAAAGTATTGCAATGGAGACTTAATTTGAATATATTAAACTCAGAGGCTGCATATTTCGAAGTTGTCCTAATGTTTAATGTTGTCTTTACATTTAAGCTTGATGGAGGCATATTGCATATTGCTACACTCCTAGATATGATTTTGATGCAGGTCTATTAGATATTGGATGCAGTATTCATGGAAACTTGACTAGATAGAAACATGTTGAAGACTTTATGTAGAGATAGAGTCTACATTTATCGATGAAGAATCGATGGAACCATCATGTAGACATAATGTATTTATCAGTCAGAGGATTAATGAATATTTGATCCTAACTTCAAAAACAAGACACAGATTTAATAAGGACTATATTAAGATTTTGTGCGGCTTTCAAGAGTGTATTTTTGATATATGTACGATCAAGGAATCATGTAGTCTTACTGCAGATCTGAATCGTAACTGTCAACTTAATAGAAACATGATGTGGAATTTAGATGAATTTGTTTTGTCGTAGATATGATGCAAAGATATTGAGTTATATGATTTTTTACATAGCAAGCAACGATAATTATTGCATTCCCGATCTTTTTGATACGTAAAACTTGTGAAAACACATACAATTTTTTATTTGGAAGATTAGATTGTAGGAGGGTAACTTAAGTAGTTACAAACAAAGACGCAGGTGTTCGTAGGGTTTCTGTTATTCCACGGGGGTATTATTTTTCGAGAATGGACCGCCACAGACGGTTTTCTTACTCCTTCGGAAAGCCCGCTCGGGTGAAAAACAAGAATATTCCCGGCTGCTTATTACCGGGATTATAGAAATCCTAGCGGACTTTAATTTCGAGATCCCATTGTTTTAGGCTTGGATTTTATACGTTCAACGCAAAGCTTTTCGTCTTGTCTCTTTAACTATTTTCAAACATATTGTTTCCAAATTTATTTAAATAGGAATAAAAATAACTTGATCATCAATCAAAAAAACATAACTTGTTCTCTATTTTCTATTCAACTCGCGTTCTTTATTAGAAACGATTTTTTTGCAAAACTGTTTTATCCCTTTTGGGATGCTCAAAGCAATTATAAAGGATTTTACGTGACTAGTAAATCTATGAGAATTTATTGCTTTATATTTCACGAAACGATAACAAATCCATTATGTACTTTTTTTTCACGGTCAAAATAGATTTAAAACAAAGGTAAAGCGAAAAAGTTTTGTATCGATATGGCTTTTCAAAAAGCGCGCCGTAACTTTTTGGTTTTTCACCATATAGATGGATAGAAGGGTATGCGCGCACGCTCTTTTTGCGCGACCGAGAGGCGATACTAGCGCCACACTCCGGTCCTGCTTTGTTTGCGGTTTGACAATGCGTTTCCTGCCCAGATACGGCTCCGTTCATTTCCCTCCCTGCCATTGTCTTATTTACGTCTGCTAACCGGGGCTGATATGCGTGTGTTTGCCCGTAGAAAGTCATCATCAAAATATGAGTTTTCGCAATTTGGGCCGCACGAATGAAAACAACGGCCGTTTCACTGAAGCTTAGTTTTCATAAGGCGCGCTAAAATTATTAAATCGATGTGCTTTTAATGTATAAAAATAAGGGTATATAAAAAGATGTTGTATAATACATATTATAAAAATAAATTGATTCTATCAATCTAAACTATATACTAAAGGTTTTTCAAAATTTACTTTAGATATATCTTGTATCTGCTTGTTCGCTGCTTTTAATATTAATTTATCATCGTCTTTTGTTGCAAATAACTTTGAAAAACGATCTTCGTTTTGTCTTTTATCTCTCAACGATTCATATGCTTCAATCAACTTTTTGTACTTATCCGTACCTGTCCAATTAGTATTTTTACGTGAAAACCTATTTACAACATCATTTTGATCTTTTCTTTGTAGTGAGGTTTCTGCATCAGGGAATTGCGTTGGTCGATTCAGGTTTGCTACGAAATAAGTTTCGTCATCATTAGATAAATTTACTTCAATCGGGACGATGTGTTGTTCGGAATCTTGTATTATATCACGTATTACACTCTCTGTATTATGCGAAGATTCGTCATCTTCAATTTTTGTATTCCCTGATGACTCTATAACTTGAGCTTCGTTAAACAAATGACTATGTATTGTTGAACGAAGTGATTTACCATTTTGTTCTACGAGGTCTTGTTGTGGCTCTTGATATAAATTTAATGCTCTGGAAATGAAGAAAAAATATTGAACAGTTATTAATGGAAAAATACATTTTTAAATGTTAACAGGAACCTACAGATTTTTGTCTTATCAGAAATAGAAACATTTAAAATATTTGTGATGAAAGTCATGAAGGAATTTCGAAGACTGGTTTGCTAATAGAATTCGATAACATAATTTCCTGAAGGTCCCTGTTCTTAGACTTTAAATTACTCTTGTTAATAATGGATACATCATACAATTTTCGTATCTTTGAAGAAGCTTCCTCGTTGGTATCTTCTTCGTTATCATCATTGCTCACTCTTTTATATCTTTGTTTCTGCTTCAACGATGAATCTTTATGTGGCGTTGAAGCTTCTCGAACTTCAATGGGAGATCGTGAAGATGGACTTAAAATATCATTAATCTCTTGAGAACCCGATCGTGGTTTTGGTTGATATTTTGAAGAAATCATCATATTAATTGGTGTAGATAAACTTGATTGTATAATTCTTTGAAGACTTTGAGGTGATAAGCGTTGCGGACCTGTTGGATTAGGAGGTGCGTTACCACCTCCCATTGAAGCTTGTTGCGGATTTCCTATATTATTCATTTTCATCATATTTTCTTTCACCATACCATCAACACTAAATGGTGGTAAGTATGTATTTGCTCCACCTAATCCTAATTGCATTAAATCCTTTGTAACCAAATCTGGGTAAGAATATTTTGTTGTATCTTCGGCAGGATTACCAGGATTATTTGTTGCCCCTGAAGGACCACCAGGTCCTTCAGGACCTCCAGCTCCTTCAGGACCTCCAGCTCCTTCAGGACCTCCAACATTTGGAGGACCTCCAAGATTTGCAGAACCTCCCACATTTCCAGGACTTCCAAGATTTCCAGGACCTTCATCAGGACCGTTTATCTTCTGTTCAGATCCATCAGGACCTCGAGGCCCACCTGGACCTCTAGATTTTTCGGGTTCCCCATATCCTCCGCCCGTAGTTAATTGTTGACCATTTTGAATTGCGCATTGTGGTTGATTGGCATGTTTTGTTGGCTCGGGTTGTGGTTGTGGTGCGGGGGCTGGTGGTGGTTGAGAACGTATTTGTAGTTCTGTACCATGTTCTTCAGATATTGAGGGATTAGAATGAAGGGAGAGAGGAATCACATTTTGGTTCAAAACCATATTTCCAGAATATGGTACTTGAATGTTGTTTAAGTCATTTCTTCTATAATCTTTTAAATCGCTGAATGGTAAATCTTTATCTGCATGTCCTACGTTATCGTGAATTTTTGTAGGTGGATTTTCATGAACTTTTTGATGTTCTGAAATATATTGGTTCATATCTTCAATTTTTCGTTGATCTTCTTGGGTTTCTATCAACACTTGCTGTCGGTGTGTTACCTCATTGTTGGGAATTTTATTCAATTGAACGGAACGTTGTAATATTGTAGTGAATTCAACTTGTTTATTTTCCGCTTGAAAATTTGCCATGTTTTGTTGATGTGGCGCTGCAAGTTCTTCGTCGGATATTGGAGGTTCTTTTGGTTCTTTAACACCACTTGGGCAAGTTGATGCTGAAGACTTAGAATTCTCAAGTAAATCTGTTAGCAGTTTGAGATGATCTAATAAATAATTTCTAACCGGAGTTACTTGTACTTGACACCTCATAGACATTCTTTCGTATTTCTCTAACAATCTTTGTATCAATCTTATTCTTTTTCTTAGTTCATCTTTATTGTCATCCGCCTCTTCTTTTCCAATGTCCTGTTCACCACTTGGTTCTTCGAAAAGTAAATGCCCTTGTTCTTCTTCTGGAGGAGCAGTTACTGAGTCTTGGCTCGATCTATATTTTATTTTAGGCAAAGGATAACCCTCTGCTATTTGACTACTCTTCTTAAAATTCCTCATTCCTTTAGTTATACGAATTATATACAATTTTAAATTTGGTGATAATTTTAAACACGTTTTTCTATGCACTTGATCTGCTACTATTCTATTTAACATTACGATAACTTCATGTAACATTTCTTCAGCGTGTTTAATATCAACTTTTGCTTGATCTTCTCTAAATGATTTAATATTCATCTGTAAAAAAAATATTTATTAAAAAATGTTGTTTAAGGGTGTTGTTTTTAAGGCTTTATTTGTAACGATTATGTAGGGCAACAACTTGAGTAGGAACCCTGAGTACTACATTAAGAATCCAAGATACATGGGTCTGTAGAAGCCTAGAATGCCGATCAGGCCAGTACTTCCTAAACACTATCATAAGAATAACCCACAAACAAAATAACGCCCAGAAAAAAAGAAAGAAAGAAACGAACAACCTATACAATGTAATACAGATAACTTGCTTCAAGACAGTATAAAGTAGTTATACTAAAAAAATACTGGATGAAAAAATACAAAAAAATTTAAACGAAAGGAAAATGAGACTCAATCATGCTCTGCCTTATGTGAAAAACATATAGAAGAAAGAAACAACAAAATTATATGAATGAGGGTCTATAAAAACAAAAGGCATGTCAGAAATGGCTAAATCAAGATAAAGTAGAGTGATAAAGATAAACTTGGATGACACAAGATCTGAGGAGGATCACGAGCCTCAATAGCTTGGAGCATGCTGCGATCCTTAGCTCATAGCACTCATAGCTTATGTGTTAGCACAGATCCTAACACAATCACTAGCAACATATAGAGTAAAAAGAGTTGGTAGAAATAAATAATGTAGACATAGTAAAACAGCACTGAAAGCAATAATGAAAAACAGTATGGCACACGGCCCAGAAGCGCCTAACGAAGTACTGGAAAGGCTGGCAGTATTTATTAAAGAACATCTTGTATATATTTCCTTTTCTTACCAGAGCACCTTGAGTGAGATGATGTTGCTTTACTTGAATAGAAAAAACTTTTTGGAAATAAAAATTTTTCTTTCAGAATAGCTCGCAGCATTTGATAGCTATATAGAAAAGGCAAACGAAAGTTTTAACCCAGATATGCCTAACGTTTTGTATGTAAATTACATATTTTCTGTACTTCTCCTTTTAACCTTGATTATTTCTATTAGTTTCATTGCTATCAAGCATTAGTATATGTGTTGTATAACAACTGAGGATTCTTGGCACCTTTTACGCTAAGTTCATGTCAAAACAACATGTCAAGAAAAAATATTAAGAACTCAGTCTTAATTATAGGAAAAAGTACTGAATATTGGGTAGACATTCTCCCTTGATAGTATACAACACGTTTATACTTTATCAACAAGTCCTCAAGCCAGTGTGGACTTATGGCATTCAACTCTTAGGTTGGACCAGTGAAAGCATACTTACAGAAGACTCGATACTGTTGAAAACTAGATACTACTATATACGAGTAATAGAAAAATAGATATTGCTGGTAGAGGACTAAATACTACCGATAGATGACTATATACCACTTCCAGAAGACTACCTACTGCTGGTAGGAGACTAGTTACTGCTGAAAAAAGACGACGTGTCTTTTCTCATCGTTGAAGACTTTGGGAATGGCGAGGGTATTTCAGAGACTTAGTAGGAAGAATGAATAGTACCGATCCATAGAAAAACGATACGAAAACTTGTCACAACTACCGATGTCTAACAGTTACAAATTAATTAAGCAGACTATGAGGTCCAATACTAAAAAAAACTAAATACAGGGGGAGAATGGACGCCATTTGAAATGGAAAAACATTTGATTGGGTATAGAATTTGACGATGATAGATGACCAGCTGGTGGTGGCTCAGAAGGAGAACCTTGAGTATGTGATAAGGAAATCAGATGCATACGACCACTAGGGCTAGGTAATGAAAAGAGCAACAACACAGTATCTTTGCGTAGGCGAAGAAAAAATTATCTGGTTTTGTTTGAACACCATAATCAAAGCGTGCGAAGAATAGAGTGGGAATAAAATCTCTTCTTGAACAAAAAAAATTCTAAAAACACCCAACAGCAGTTATACATCTTTAGCTCTGCGGTGCTGCATGGATGCGAAACCTGGTAACTAACCAAACAATTAGAGGGCCGCTTACAGGCAGTGGAAGTTGACTTCTGGAGAAGAGCAGCTGGTAATACCAAAATGGACAGAGTGTGGAATACCGACATATGCAAAATTATGGGGTGCAGGCAACGATAGTCAACTTAGTGCATAGAAGATGGGTAATGAGAGAATTAAAAACGAGGCATTGAAGTCTAATGGAAAGAATATTCAGGGGACATTGAAAAACTACTTGGGCATCGGGGATTCGAAAGGCTGAATCCATATTGATTGTTTCAGTAATCGAACTTTAATTTTATTTCTTCAGAGGTGTAGAAATAGAATTTCTGCCAAACCAATAGGGACACGATGGACGACATTCAAGTTGCTAGGAGAGATAGTTTCAATAGAATGAAGAAGTAATAAGCAAACCACTTCAACAAGGCACTTTGGGTCCCGATTTATATTAAGCTCAACACAGATGTCTACTGTACAATTTTAGATAACAATGTACTTCCTGCATTATGGCAGTTTTACTCATGCTACTTTCAGGACAACGATATTAACTGTCATATCGCGAAGTTTACCATCGATTGGTATGGTCACAACGAGATTACCCGAATGGATTGACTTGCCCAGAATTCAGACCTGAACCCCATCGAGAACCTCTGGGATGAATTGGATCGTCAATTTAAGGAGTGCAATAACCGTCCAAAAACGCAGTAAGAACTTACGAATCTTCTCTAAGACTAGTGGAAGAAAATACCAGTAGCCATCGTGGATGGAGTTGTGGAAAGCATGCCAAGGAGGGTTGAAGCTGTGATATTCTGATAATAAAATAATAATACCATTGACATAAATAACATGATTACACAAATAATATGCGAAAAAATAAACAGAGAAAAGGTGGAGTTTATCAATATCGGGGGCACTTCTAATCAGGATAGGGTGCGCAATTTGATTTTTATGGACATAAAAGCTTTGCAGCTTTCTTCACGTTACTTAATGTAAACATGTCCGCATGTTAGATCTTTGTTGATGAAACATCGTTCAAAGATGTCCTCAATAGAGAAGTTAGGAGGAAAATCCAGAATGTTGTGCTGGTTGTGCTTCTTTCCAAGTGTTGATGAAACTTCCCATACAACTTATTACCCCATAATGGCATGAGAGGAAGTTTTCATAAAACGAAAAGAATAAGAACTCCGACTAAACCATGAATACTCGAAGGACATGGGAAAACAAACATTTTTCATTGATGAATTCAGTGTAGGTCGCACATATGATATATGACAAACTCGTTAATGAAATTAAAATTATTAAGGAGTATAGATTTGGGATAACAACAATATAAAGTAATCCCGTAAAATATATTTAAATTAAAACTACTTACCACATTTTCATAAGCACATTCTTTCGAATTTGATATACTACCACCAAATCTATTAAATAATCCACTATTATCTTTTAATTTCCCATAAAATATATTAATAAGATTCATTGGTAAATCACCATTAAGCATATTTCTCATATCTTCCCGTTCCTTTTTCTTTTGTTCATCATCAGTTCCTTTTGATCGATTTGAAGCTTCGTCATATCCTTCAGATTGTTTTGTTATCGTTAAATTATCCAGACATGCTGTTGAAATTTGTGATGAGTCGGTGGCAATTTCATTTTCTGGTGAAAAGTCTTGGCTGCCACTTTGAGGCGTTTGAGCGTCACGAAAACTAGCGATATCTCCTGGATTGTTCGCACGCTCCAAGTTTTGACCAAAACGATGATTTTGAATGTAGTCGTTGTAATTGAACGGTATTATTTGATTGAGAGGTGGTTGGGATACTTGTCTGGTAAATTGGTGAAGATTTCTTAATTTTCTACGAAGACGTATGTTTTCTTCGCCACCGTCATCTTCGAGAATTGGAGAAAGATAAGATGACTCGGATTCTAAATTTTTTAATTGTCTGCCTAATGTACTTCTTTTTGAATTGAAACTGATTGGTTGTTCGATGACATCTTTAAAACTTTCAACATCATCTAATTTAATTTTTGAATTTTCTGTTGATGTTCGTTCAATATCATCAAAATTTTCGTATGAATTCTTAGATATGTCTACTATATCATCGAACATTTTTTTTTTAAGTTTTTTTTTTTGATTATCAACTTTTTTTCTGGGCCGCGAAACTTCTACCAAACCTCCTCCTGTATCTGGTGTTGTGTTTTCATCTCTTTGTTTTTGTTCTTCGTATTCCTGCTTACGTTTTACTGGTATTTCTATGTTATCCAAGCTATCATCTCCGGAGGAAATTGGTAAATCATCATCATCTTGAACTGAAGCGTTTTCAAAATATTCATCGAGTGATTTATAGATATCGGGATTATGCGCTTTTTTTCTAGATCTCATCACGGAATCGTAAACTTTTTGAAATAGAAGCTTTTCCTTCAAATCTTCGTCTACCGATTCTATGTCCATATACGCTTCTTTGGCCGGCCTAACTACAGGAACTAAAGAATTTTTCATAATTCTCTTTTCGTGATAATACTCTAAATCATCCGGCGAAACATTTTGACTATTTTTTTGAACGGTTTCTTCTTGAGCTGCGTTTATGACTGGTATTATAACGTTTCTTTTCGGAGGAAATCTTTCGTAGTAAAATTGGTCATCATCTAAATGATCAGAACGTTTCGTTTGTTTTTTTCTTTGATCTAATTTTAAAACATCTTCAATTTCCCTTTTGAGCAAATCATTGTCGTAATAACCACCCGGACCTCTAACACATTGATCTTTCGGAATTGGTTTTTGATGCTTTTTCTCCGAATGATGATGTACGACAGATGGACGAATATCTCGTCTCGATAAACTTGGTGTAAAACGATTTTTATATCGACTTATTAAACCTTGAATATTTTGCGATAAAATTTGATTTCTTTCGGGATTTTTAATCATCATGTTTCTTTGATCGTTTTCAAGAATTTCTTCTTCAGATAATTCTTCGAGAGATTGAGGTTTGTGAAACAAAGATAAGGGATATTTATCGGATTCCCTGCTCGTTATTATATCTTTAATATCATCTTCTCCTATATTTTGCGGGAATACATCGTCGGAATCTTGAGTTGACGATTGGAATCCCGTTGTGGGCGCTGAAGTTTTACCTCCGATATGCACAACAGTACTACTTTTGATTAAAATCGGTTTCTTATCTGTTTTTGGTTCTGATATTATTAAATCGGAATCTTCAACTGGATCCTCTCTTAATGGCGAAGACTGTGCTTTTAATGGTTCTCTATGAGCACTTTCAAACGCATTTGTGTTATTGTTACATTGAACCGAAGCCGATGCATTTAATGATAAACTTCCTGAGACGGCGTTAGATTTTGAAGCGGACGAAGTTTCAGTTTCGTGAGATGTAGGTTGATTTGCTTTGAAAGCTGCTTGGCTACCGGAAGTTTCATCTTTAGATGATTCCCCAACAGACGCAGCTTGACCTTGTTTCGGCTTTTTATCTTTATCTTGCGTTTCTGGTTCTTTATCTTCATCAGAAGCATCTTTTTCGTCTTCATTTCCTTTATTATCATCGTTTTCATTTTCGGCATTTTTATTTTCACCATTTTCTTTGTTATCAGATTCTTGTTCATTGTCTACGTTTTCTGATTCATTATCTTTTTCATCGTTTTTGTTAGCTTCACTTTCTTTGCCGTCTTCGCTTTCTTTATTTTCATCATTTTCTGTGCCACCTTCAGTTTCGCTTTTAACATCTTCACTTGATTCCTTGTTTTCTTCCCCATTTTTTGATTTGGCTTGGTCAAGTTTGCAATTTCCGCTAGATTGTTTTTCGTTTTCATTCGAATTTGCGTTATCATCTTCCTGGTGACCTTTCTTCCTCATTTGATCAACTTTCGCTTTAAAAGCTGCACCAGTTTCATCGTGCCCCCCTTTTAGAGCTGCTTGTGCTTTTTTAGGCTGCCCTTCATTAAATGGTTTGGAAGTATCAGTATTATTGTTTTCATTTGTCTTTGTTGTATCGGGTGAATCACCTTCCTCTTTATAAATTTCATCTGGTTGTTCAGTATCTTCGTTACTCTCCGTTGTGGCGTCGCCATTTTCTTGAGTGTCTTCGGATTCTCTTCCCCCTTCGGTTATATCTTCAACTTTTCCTACTTTTTTTGATTCATCAACGGGTTTGGTTTCTTCAGAGTCAGAATTGTTTTCGTTTTCGTCTTGTCCTCCAGCCGGTTCGGCTTTATTTTCAGTTTGATGGATTTCTTCTCCTGAACTTCCAACATTTCCTCCTTGGCCATATGTTTCATTCTTATGGCTACTTTTAAGAGAATGTCCATTGGGCGAATTACAATATTTTCCTTTTTTAATTAATTCAATAATGTTTTTGGTTAACTGTTGCAATTCTTGATCGTTGTTCACGTCAACTTTGGGTGATTTCGTTCCTACTTCCAAATCAGAACCTTCTTCACTTGGATTTTCAGAACCCGCCCCATTTGAAACCATATTAATCGTTACGTTGAAGTAATTATAATTGATTGCATTATCTCCTTGGTTACCAGCCGATGTTGATCCTGTTTCTTCTTCTTCTTCTAAAATTCCACCAGTTTCATTTTCTTCATCATCTTTTGATTCTTTATTACTATCATTTTTAGGTAATTCATAAACTTTGCCTTCACTTTTCATAGCAGCTAATGGTTCAGAACTTTTCCCTTCTCCAGCACTTACTTTTTCTCCTACTGGTCGAGGCTTGGAAACTTCAGCAGTATTATCTTGATCAGAATTATCTTGTGGTTCAGCATCTTTTTGTTCAGTATCATTTTGTCCCCCATCTTTTTCTCCACCATCTTTTTGTTCAGCATCATTTTGTCCACCATCTTTTTCTCCACTATCTTTTTGTTCAGCATCATTTTGTCCACCATCTTTCTCCTCACCATCATTTTGTTCTGCACCATCTTTTTCTTCCGAACCATTTTGTGCATCATCTTTCTGTCCACCATCTTGTTCCGGAACATCTTTTTCCCCACCATCTTTTTGCTCGGCATCCTTTTGTCCAGCATCTTCTTGTCCACCATCTTTTTGTTCACTTTTAACATCTGCCTCATCACCATTTTCCGAAGTTTCTTGATTATCTTCATTCGGCGGAGTTTCATCAGTCGATCCAGGATTACATTCGGAAGAGTGTTCAGCTTGTTCCTGTAGACATTCGATCAATCCCATTGACCCCGTTACCACATTTTCCAAATGACAAGTCGTACTAATTACCTTTGTGCCGTTACGATCTTGCACGTTCATCGTCGGGCTGCGTGGTCTCGGTTTCGATCGATAAACTGTGACAGCCGATTCGCCATCTGTTAATATCAATGCTCTTTTTTCAGTTACTGCTATAATAAGAAGTTAAAACAACTTGAAGTTGTTTGTGAATAATAAAGTTATGATTACCTTTATTAAAATCTTCATCTTTTTTTTCCCCAGATCTTGATGGTTTTATATCCATGTCATCATCATCATCATCTTTAAATGATCCAATAACGTCATTTTCTTCGCTATTTTTGTAATTGTTATATTTGGCTTTGTTATTTTTTTTGGATTTTTTTAGATGTTTGTATATTACTTTTGGCTCAAATTCTTCTAGTTGTGCATCTTCTTTATTAGGTCTTCTATGTTTTGCTACTTTCTTTCTATGGTTATGAAGCATTACCTTTTTAGGTTTGCTGTGATATTCTTTTTCATCATCTTCTTTGGTGTTAAATTCTTCTTTATCATCTTTTTCGTCACCATCTTCTTTCATTCCTTTTTCTTCATCATCATCTTTATTATTTTTTCCATCGATTACTTCCTTATCATCATCCTCTTCTTCCATTCCTTGCCTTTCTTCTTGTCTTTCATCTTGTCTTTCATCTTGTTTATCTTCTTCATTCGATTCTTTTCTATCATCATATTTATCATATTTATATTTTTCAAATTTATCATAATTATTTTTCTCTTCTAGTTCATCAGCGTCGACGTCATCATTATCATCTTTAGACTTGATTCTTCTTGCCATCACTTTAGGCTTAACATAATCATATTCATCCGTTGTTGTGTGCTTATGATGTATTTTTTTATCTCGATTTTTATCTAAATAGCAATAAACAAGTTGACGCTCATCATCGGAAACGTCTTTATCATAATTTTTGTTATGCTTTAAATGTTTTCTTTCTTCGATTAATTTGTTATTATTTTTTTTTCTTTCTTTTATTCTTTTCCTCAAATATTCTTCGTCTTCGCTTTCATTATCAGCTTCATCACTATCTAAGATAACATCATCTCGATATTTCATTTTAGGCCGAATCTTTTTTTTAATTTTTTTCTGAACATGTTTAATATTTTCTAACTCTTCCTCATCACCTCCTTCCTCCGCCTGGTTAGATGCGTGATTACGCGATTTTTCTCGATATTTCTCCAATTTTTCAGAAGAAATACTAATTGGTTTTGCTGAAATCAAAATACAAGTCGATTGATCGTTCGAATCTCTGTTAGATTTTGATTCTTCCGTTGTACTTTCAGCTTCATTTGATTCTTTCTCAGATTCTTGAGTATAACAAGTCGTAGCTTTTGTGAATCTCGTACTTTTCTTTTTGGAATGAGAACTACGTTCTGTTGAAGATATATCTTCCTCTTGATTCATTTGTTTGATATGCAATTCAGGGTCATTTTTTGTACTTTTCTCCCCATTCTTTTCATCGGAAACTTGAAAATCATCTATCGTGGTTATACTTATAGCTATTGCGTCCGAGGCGTTTTTATGATCATGTTTATGCAGTGATTGTTCATCAGATCTTCGTTTATTGGACCCATCGAGATTGTTGAAAGAGTCTGCGTAAGATCTTCGTTTTGGATCGATAACATCTATATGCAAAGTTTCGGTTTCTTCAATTTTTGGACTTAAATCTAAAGGTTCGTTTTCTTGAACTTTTTTTTGTTTGTAATGGGGTTCTTTTGAGTCATTTCCTGGTTCTTCATCTGGCTCATCATCTTCAGACCGTTTTAGCATGTTCAAATACAAATCGTAAGGATCTCTTTTTTCTCTCATTTCTTCGTTTGCTTCATCATTATTATCATAATAATAATAATTTTCCTCGTTTTGCAATTTTCTTCCTTTAAAATTCGGCATACTCTTTGATAATTGATTCGTTTGAATTTCTCGTTTTTGTTCAAAGTTGTCGTAATAATTATAATCCATTTGTTTAATTGGGCTAAGTTTCCCTTGGTTATTTTCATAATAAAATTGATCGTTTTCTAAGTTTAAAATCGATGGGTTATCAAGAATTACTTTTTTCTTTGCGATAATATTTCTCTTTTGATCGGTATCAATAACTTTTTCATCTAAATCGGAAATCTTTTTTAATTCTTTATTTTCGGTTGATTTTTTTCCTAAATGAATAACATCTTCTGAATCTTTAACTCTAAAACTATCAAGAGAATTAATCGTATCAAAATCAGCACTGCGATAACCCATAACATCAACTGGAACTTGTTTTTTCAACGGAATCACAATAAATTGATTGTCAGTATCGTCGTTGGTAATGATTGGTGTGGCTGATTCATCCTTTCTACCTAATTCTCTTTGCTCAGCGGCTGATGTAGGTTCTGTTAAGTCTTCCAATTCAATTTTCTTTTCTTGGCCCACATTATAATCAAAAGTATTGTCCTCATCTTCTTGTTCTTGTTGTTGTTTTTCTAAATTATGGGCATTTTCCCTATTTAAATATTCTCTTAAAGTCATTTTAAGATTTTTATTATTATCATCATCAGCGTTTTCAAGGAGCTTTATATTAGGATTATTTACCATTGAATTACTTGTTGAGCTTATAGTAAACATTAACCCAGCGCTGGGTAAAATCATTGTGGTTGTTGAAGTCGTTGGATCGGATGTTAAAAAAGGGAAGTGATGATTACTTTTTTTCTTCTTCTTTTTATTAGCACTCGACCTTCGTTTACTTGTCGGAGCTTTCGGTTTAAATTTTTGTTCAGGGCGTGAATTGAATTTTAATTCAACGTTTGGAACGTGTTCTTCGTCGTCGTCTTCAGCAACATCGCGTTTGTTAACTGATATTAATCTTTTATTGGTGTTTCCAAAGTTATAATTAACTTTCGATGGAAGAATTCTTTTTGATGCCATTATATTTTTGATTATTGCATGGTTATAGTTTTCAACATCAAAGTTTTTGTACATTCCAAACGAAGGCGATTCCTTCTCCGTTGATGAAAAGTCATCGTCTCTCATTCTCGGAGGTTGAGCTACTGGTTGAAACATATGAAGACCACTTCGATCGGCTTTAAGAACGTGGTCGATATTTTCTAAAAGGTTATCGCTATCTTTTCGAAGGAGCTCTTGTTTCGAGGGAATTTGATTGTCTCTACTTGGTGTTTCAATGTAATTAACCAACTTCATAAAATCATTATTTTTTGTTTCTGTCAAAAATTTTGTTGTTGATTTTAAAGATGGCAATGAAAAAGTGTCTAATGAAGGGAAATTATGTTGGGGTGGTGAATTTAAAGCTGATCCACTCTGCAATTGGGGTTGAAAGTAATGAGGTGGAGGTAACGTGAATTGAGAAGGTGGTGTTTGTGTTAATTTAGGTGGATTTTGTTGAAATAATGGATTAATAGGTTTCATTTGTTGCGCAATCCCTGGATTCGATATATTCCTACATGGTCTTCCAGAAACTTTGGCAGATTTCACGAATGTTTTGCAACTTTGGTTTTTGTTTAAATCATTACTTCCTCCAACCATATCTTGTGCTAACCCCAGAACATCATGAGGCGAAGTGTAATAATATTCACCAGAATCTCGGCTGTCATTCGCAGATCTATTTTTCCACACTACATTGTGTTCATTGTGATCGGGGTTAAGGCAGTTGTCCGATGATTCAGATGATTTCCTATGTCTACCATAATATTTTTGACCAGGGACGTTTTGAACACCTGTTTCACTTCTTGGAACAACCTTCACCTCACTACCACTATCTTGCTCATTATCTAAATCCAAGTTGACGCTACCCTTAGATCTTCGACGTCTAACAAGACCTGATTTGCGACGTTTTCGTTTTCTTTTCTTTCTTAACGACCTTCTTATAGGTCTTCTTAAATTATAAATGGGTCGTTGATTTTGTGGCTTATTTCCATTGCTTAAATCGTAACTGGCATCGTTAGCAGGTTGCGACAAAACGTTTTGTGGGTTATCCTTTTTATTGAGAAAATCTATCTGATTTGAAGGTGTGGTAAAAATCTGAAAATGATATTTATCATTGTATTGGATTAACTAAATTACATAAGACTTACAGATTTTTTAAATTGATTATTATTAATCTCTGACTCTTGCGCTTGTCTTCGTATCCATCGAAAATCGTTTTGAAATTGTAAAACTTCGTGAAGAAAATCATTTACTTCCGGTGGATTGTCGGCATTCAGATGGATGGTCTATAACAACAAAAAACAATTTAACGCCCTTTCTCACCCTGAGATGTTTGGACCACCCCATTACTGGGTAGCTAAATTATTGTTTTACTTAAGGCCAAGGGCTGTTTAATAATTGATAAGATTACGTACGACCCCTTTGGGCTCGACGACTAAAGAGGAAGACTAAGGGAGTGAAGCGGTTTTGTAACCGAAGGGGTTCTCATAGGGGAAAGGGGGTTGAAAAGGAAACGAACGAGAAAATAAACAGGATTCGTGTAAGTTACTCGGTGTGACGTGAGGTGGCGTTATTATGATAAATGTTTAGTGGTTTTTCCAATTACATTCGAGGAGGGAAGAAGTCGAGAACAATTTTGTTTTTAATTGAAGGAATGTCCTTCCTCGTTCGTCCTCCTTTATCCAGTCATTGTACTCGGCGTCAGTTCCAACTTCGTCTACTTTTTCACCAAAGCAAAAGCAAACCCTTCTTTTCCCCATTTTTGTTTATTTTTTATTTCCTATTCACCTGCGTCTCATTAATTGTAAAATAATGAGGACGACAAACGTTGAGGAAAAACTCAATTATGAACCGCGAATTAGCACGGTTTAACGGTCGGTTAGTTTTTTTCAGTTGGTGGGATATAGATGGGGGATCTTCGTTCCGGGCGACTCAGGGAGCGAAAAAATCTTGTTAATTACTGTGGTGTCAGTCTCGCATCGTGACCCACTCAAGAAATACCCTGAATGCTTTCCACAAAGAAAACGTATTCACACCGCAATTTCGTGACGTCTCATTTATATTTATAATTGGAGGCGTATAGCGATGGAAAAGAAATAAAATGGTTGAAATAGTCAAGGGTGGGTCGAGCAATTAAGATAAAATGAGTCCATTTTATGATCTTTCGTTGGGAAGAAAAAAGTGGTTGAAAATAAAAATTATCATCCCCTCAATTTGTATGCGGGGTAATTCAATCAGGATTTTACTCGGTTCCATTCCGTTAAGAGCATAGAAGATTAGATCTACATTATTTTTTCATGTAGCGGCGCTATTATTTTAAATTCAAACGCCGTCGTTGCAAGAGAGAGAGGGTTTCACCCCTAAACCCAATTCGGCGGGGAGAGAACTCGTCGGTAAATATCCAGAGAAGCATAGTCGTCGTCGCCGCGCAAACACGGGGGCGTCGCGATGTGATCCTATTAAGGGGCCGCCTCAGGAGGAGCGGGCCCGTCGTCACGTAGAGACGCCACTTCCGGTTTTAAAAGGTAAACCGAACCGACAGGAACAATGGCAGATAATGTGGCCGCGTTCGCCAACGAAACGGCTCCCGCCCGCCGTCAGGTGCTCCTTCTCCTCGTCGGAGACTTAGCGCGGATTTTACCCCGAACAAAGGGTACGTCGAAATTCGTTTACCAACTTTCCTAAATGGATAAGTTTCGCCCGCGAAGCGTCACTTTAGGTACCCAAGTAAGGGGGCCATAGGGACCACGTCCTCATCATCTTCCTTCTCGTCCTCATCATCTACCTCTTCCGCTGTGCCATCGTCTTCAACGGGTCTGTTAATTTTCACACTCGAGAAATCGAGCATGAAAATTTCTGTCTTTCATGGAGTAACATTATATTTTGCTATTTGCCATTGATATCAACGCACGTAGCGTTTACCTCCCCCAGTTAGAATTTAGTGTCGTCGTTCGATACCGTCAGGGGGTTGTAGGGGAGGAAGGATGTTTAACTCATCCCTAAACTTCTTCCTTTTTTCACTCTCGTGGTGGTCTCAGTTTTCCCAAGAGCTTTTCTTTTCCGTGTATTGAATTGATCAGAGTAACAAATAAACATTGATGTCATTGAGACTTGGTGTATTTTCAAAACTTTCTGTATACTTAATATACATAATAGAACTTTAATATTTATGTATTGATGTATGTATGTGGGATGAAATGTTTACCTCATAGTGACGATTCATATCATTTTCTGATTTCCTCCTTCATAAAATTCCTAAATTATTTATGATTTATGGACACATCGTTTTAACTCAAATTTTAAAGATATTGGATTGTACCACAGTTTTTTCAAATGAACGACATAATAATCTTCATACAAATAAAGGGATTAATCAGCTACTTCAAGACTCTAAGCCTTATCACATACATGGTTTCCCAAAACTCCCCAAAACCCAATAAACCAAAACCCGATATCTTAATTCTTTCAAAAATTTTGAGGGGTTGACTACCAAATGGGAAAATAAATGTTTTCTTGTTTTTTTGCACGTTTATTACGATTTTTATAACAAATGTTCAAATTGTCGACCTTCTTCGGTCTCGCAATGACCCAAACGCTCATAAATGCTATTTTGAATCATCAGCAGCATATCCCTATTGATTCATTAAAAGAGTGATTCTTTCTTTTTCGGTAAGTTTTTGCGCGAGACAGATATTTGCAACTGTTAGAAAATCAAGTGGTTCCAAGTATATGTGCCGTATGCCCTAATGGTATTGACAATAAGTGGTTCCAACAAGATGGTGCTCCTCCACATTTTAGGCCCGCAGTCCGAGATTTTTTAAGCTGCACGTTTCCAAACCGTTGGATTGGAAGAAGAGGTGAAATTGAGTGGCCACTACGATCTCCTGATCTAACACCACTCGATTTTTTCTTTTGGGGGTTTCTGAAAAGTAGAGTGTATGCAATAAAACCAGAATTAATAAATGATTTGAAAAATCGTATACTTGAAGAAACCACAAATATCACTAGGGATATGCTCCTGATGGTTCAAAACTCTATTTATGAGCGTTTGGATCATTGCGAGAGCGAAGAAGGTCGAAAATTTGAACATTTGTTATAAATATCGTAATAAACGTACAAAAAAAACATGAAAATATTTAGCCATCATAATTCTTGAAAGAATTTAGATATCGGGTTTTGGTTTATGGGGTTGTGTTTCGTTTTTCATTGCCTTTAAAATAAGGTAAAACTCGACAGGGGTTGCTTTTTAAAAATGTAGGGGTTGTCATCTCCTAAAAAAACTCCACATTGTATGGAAGTTCTAAACTATCTAAGAATATAGTTTTTATGACTCTTTAGGGATCCCTAAATTTTCAAATTTTTTTCTTCACTCGTTCAAAACTTACAGCTCCGTCCCGGGAGTTTTGGGAAACCTGTATGGTCTTTCATAATAAATTAAATTATTTTTGAAAGATTCTTTTTTAGGAGCAATCTCAGTCTCCATTCATCTTTTCTACATAGGATGTCCATTTCTCTCTAAGTTTATCAACGTCGTTGCAATACACAATGTTTATTCATCATCCCCCACCACACAATTTTGTAGTGTTATTGTCTTATAGCCGATTTAAAATAAAGTTTAACGGCGAGCTTCGTTTTTATATGTGATCTTCCCACACGAGGTCACTTTTCGATAATTGGTCAGAGTGTCCAAAGCTGATTTTGCGCTAAGTATCAACAGGTTGTCTGAATGTGAAATACAGTAAACTTTTCTGACAAACATTATGAAAGACCTAATTTCGTATTGATAGACCCAAGCACATTTAGACCAAAATTGAAGCATTTGATGCACTTAGTGATACAAGAGATGATGAATGTGTGTGTAATTTTTTGCGACAATCGTATAGCAGATTGTTAACTATTGCAACAATACATACAATAATATTTGCAAAACATTTAACAAGGTTTGCTGCCGTCGTTCAAAATTAAGTGGTCAGTAGCTCATAGAAGAAAAGAACTTTATTTAGACAGAAGGTTTGAACGGTTAAATAAAGACTTCATTGTCAATCTGATAGGAGCAAATCTACAAAATTTACATCTACCAAATACCAATAGAAACTCGTCGATATCATTTGATGATGCGAGTGAAAAGGCAAAAATGCGAAATTTTACTCACTGCTGCATACAGATTATTGTAAATATTATAGAATACAAAATTCATCGATGGAACAACTAAATATCGACGCTGCCAAGCCAAAACGGCATAAACGACATTTACTTGATTTTGCAGGAAAACAAAAAACTTCCAACATGTATTTAAATAGGCATTTACGCTATCTTTAAACGAATATTTTTGCGATTGAAGTTTGTTTGCGGAGCTTAAACTGGATGCAGATTTAGAAATCTCGTAGCTATCTTAAAGATGACCATTTTGGCGTTGTGTATTTTGGCTTTGGCTTTGTGTACAGTTTCAAAATGAACATAAAGTGATGTTGTTAAGCGAAGAAAATATGTTGGTTGATAACAAGACAAAGTTAATATAAACAGATTCTACCAGACGAAACAAAATCGTTTGTTCTATTGTGTCTAAATATGACATTGAAGTACCAGACTTTGATAAAACATCTATAAAACTTCATAGTCCTTGATCTATACTTGCCACAAAATCCGATAGAATAGTTGGTGTCCAAACAATCGTCGATGTTAACACTAATTGAGTGAGTTATAAGATCGTTGGACATTAAGGAATGGACGCTGTTTATAGATTGTTCTAAACCCAGTTTAAAACCCGTTCTTCTTAATGATGGATATCAACCACCTTCGATTTCTTTCACATATGAAGTTTGAGTATGTAAGTATCTTTTATATAGATTTTGGTATGAAAGGCACAAGCCAACATTCTTCAAATACATGCCACAATTTCAAAGTTACAGCACCTTTGTTTGATCTCCTTCAATTACTGCAAAAATTATTTTGTCAAGCACCAATGCCTTAAAATCATGGGACTATCACTACTAATCACCTCCAAATTGGAATCACCGAGTTGGAAATAGGATTAGGGCTGACAAGAGCAGAAGCTGTGGTCCGCAACGAACAGGGCTATCGATCCCAGAAATAAACACTATTACGGAACATTAACATGATCTATTGATTGCTACTTAGAATCTAAGGATCCTATAAAGATTTCGCGCACTCTAGAATCTAATAAAAGAAATTGGCAAATATACACTCGACGTCATCGCCTTACAAGAGATGAGATCATACAATCTTTTATAACTATAACTCGTCTAAACACACACTGGGATAGGTTTTCTTATAAAAAATAGAATAAAAGCCTTATAAGAGATTCTAGGCATTAAGCCTAGATTATGCACGATCAAGGGTTCAAAGAAAAATTCCTTAATTACAGTCTTATATGCGTGCATGCTTCTAAGGAAGAAAAGGGGGAGGACGAAAATGTAACATTTTACGAGAAAGTAGAGTCTGTCGCTGAATCACTTATGCCCAAGAACAATTAGATAATTCTGGAAAAGAAAAAGTTTTTCGTGTTAAATTAGGAAGAGAGAACCAACACGTAGGACCATAATAGGAAAACGTAGCCTATTGCAGCCTACTGCAATATGATTCAGCCTAAGATGGTTATACAATCAATATGATAGATTACTTCATTGTTGATGCAAGACACTAATATGATATAATAGTTGTTCTCTTTTATCATGCATGCTACTCGAGAAGGTCATATGGGATGCGGATATCAACACGAGAGGGGCAATTATCAACACACCTATGGAAATGCTGGTTTTTGTTGACGATGTTGACATCATTTAAGGTCAAGGAGATGCCTTTTGCTTAAAGTGGACTGAAATTAAATCTACTAAATCAAAACGTATGAACGTAAACTCATCAACAATAAGAACGAAATTTGTATATCTGGACTCACTGGTCACATTGCATAAGAAAAGGAAAATGTTAAATATACAGGGTCATTCTCGATCTATACGCATAAATTTGGGGATTTATTCCTCACGATAAATAATAAGTAAGAGATGAAAAAAATTGTAGCATAACTTTTTAAATTTCCTAGATATCCGCGAAATTTGCTTTCAAGTCAAGAATACATATACAGAACATCACAGAATCATCATCAGCACATTGTAAAATAACATCACAGCAAGTGTTTGAAATTAATTCCCGTATTGTCTATACACAATTAGGATCGCCGAATTAACGATCTCCCACTAGTGCGGCCTAAACCATGGTTTTGACACATTGTCTCGACAGCAACATGTATCACACTATGCTGTTTAAGTGTCCCAGAAAGAAAAATCAAGAGAATTGAGGTCGGGCGATAGAGGTAGTCAGGCCATTAAACCACCTCGACCTATCTAGTTATCTATGAAACTAACAAACTTTTACTACAATTTTTTTCGCCAATTAGTCATCGTTTGTCATGAGGAATAAATTCTAAGTTTATGCGTATAGGTTGGGAATCAGCCTGTATAAAACCTTAATACGATCTGTTTTGGGCTATGGATCTGAATCTTGGATAATATCCAAGAGCGACGAAAGATTGCTAACAATATTCGAAAGTAAAGAATGGAGAACTTCTTGCGTTAGATGGGTCATATAGAGAGAATGAGGGATGAAGAAAAATCTAAGAGAATTACTAAATATTCTAAGACCTACAGAACGATGTCATGTCACCGATGATGATGAATCTGAAATCATGAAATCTGATACCAGAATACTCTATTTTATATTTTCTTTTTTGGGTGAACGAAAAATTTTATTATGACATTGGATAAAAATGACCCACGTTTATTTATACTAAAAGAACAAATTCGAAAATATATTTGTAGGACAGCAAATAAGAAAGTTTGCGAGTTACTATTAGTTTGAGGAAACTTTGAGTTGTATTGAAAAAGCTGCTGAAAGCATTTAAAAGACTGACTTAAAAGGACTAAATGACTTGTCTGAAGATTATTGAGAAATAGTTTCAGAACCCTATTCAAATTATAAATTTCTATCATGTGTTATGTCCCTAAAAAGATATTTTTTGTCACATGGACGGCGGCACTGTGCAGTCACTAAGGGATTCCACAAAGGTAGTTCAACAACGAAAAGATGTAGGTAGAAAACAGGAACCCAAATATGCCTAAAGCCGTTACTGAGGGATACAGAATTGAATACTGATTTAATAGCTAAAAAGTTCTACAAAATTCCACACTAACGATCAGTCTTGAATTATTTTCGTGTGATATTGTTATTATTTAAAAAAAACATCAATATCAATGCGTTTGTTTCTTAAGTGATTGAAATGGCATAACTTGATTATGTTGTCTAACTCTATTAATACTACAACACCCAAAATGAATAGTATTCAAAAAGGGCTCATTGATACAATGCCGAATTTATCGTTATGCTGTCAATCACTTCAATATCATGAATCGAAACCGTTCAAGATAGTGTTACCAAAAAAAAATCCGTTTAAATCACTCACATCAAGTAGATCCCTCTCTGCCTGCGATATCCCTATGATGTACAACAACAAAGCCACTTCCTTTATCAGGGAACGAATAGCCATAAACCTGAAAGTATAATAGAGTAAAAAAAATGAGTAAAATTTTTAAAAAATGCTGCCCGGAAATGATGAACACATGGATGAAATGTTTTTGGGCGGAGTGAGGAAGGGTAATCTAAGTGACAAGGGGAAGACGTATCAACTCCCTTTAAATCGTAATTACACCCGGAGGTCAGGAGCTCACGTTAAGGCCGTGTGATGAACTTTCGAGTCTTAACAACAAATCTTGGACAGATTACCGAGGACCGGACCTCGAATCCCTTTGGGATTTCCACCCGGTTCGAACTGACCTTAACTTAAATCGTCCTTTAAGGGCTCACATCTTTATTAATTATACCTTTCACGTGTATTACCCCCAACGCTTCTTACATTATTAATTAACAATTAAATAGAGAACACAAACAAAAAAAAAATTTTTCAAGTTGTTGAAGGGTTGTTCTTTTGCTTAAAAATATGCCGGTGTACGGGGAGTTTCCCCCCGTTTTTCACTCAAACCATTGTCATGCACATTGCCGCGCATTGTTCTTTGCTAATTGTTTTCTTTTTGCCTCGCGATCCTTCGTTTCAAGCAAGTCCTTAATTGCGGGGACTTAATTGGCGGTGAAGGCCTCTTTAATTTCAGAGCAGCTCGCGTAGTTTTGGGGAGAACGAACCGTTTCTCCCCCTTGTCGTAACCCACCCGCGTAAACAATGCACGTCAAAATATGCTTCCTCTCCCCTTTGGGAATAGTACGATTTTTCTTTCTTTTTTTCGTTCTGTTTTACACATCAGAGGGGTTGTTTTTATTCTAGTAGAAAAATAAAAATATAACTTAAACGGTTACAGTTTTATTATATTACAAATTGAAAGAAAAAAGTTTCAGTATTAAACGAGAATTTAAAGGGGCGATTCTCTTTCGTAGATTCACCATACGTTTTTCTTTTCGGTCCTGTAATCCCTAGAACATCTTAAGTAATCACCACTGCACCCTATAAAAGATGCCCCTCATCCCCGTTTATCTAAAACCAGGGGATAGAATTTTTCGGGACTTGAGGGGAAAAGAGAAAAACTGATGCAGTCGAAACCGGAAGGCCGAAGGAAAAATATTGAAAATGAAAATGTCTGAAAAGCACTAGGAGGACCGCGTAATCTGCGGAATTATTTTAGTCCTTTTGAGGCGGCATTGTGGTGGCGGTACGAAAGGGAGTCCTCTCGCCGTGCATTAGAGTGCACCACCAGGACGGAGATGGGGAGAGCTTCGGTTAGACAATAACTTGTCGCGACCACAAAAGAAGAGTTTATATTAATTCAGCCCGGGGACATCTACGCAAGATTAAAGGGACGAGAGGCTCGCGTCACCGTATCGCCCTAAGTACATCCGACGGGACGGAACAGGAGAAGGCATCCCCCACTTCAGCCCGCGGGGGCCCGCGTTTCAAAGCCACCACGGACGCGCTACTTCCGCTTATCGGGAACGTGACGCTTTTTAATATTTTTCGCCAAATGGACCAAGCTGAGGACGTCTCACTTGATGTGTGCTCGATCCTTAAAGATTAAAGGGTCCTTAAATAATATGCCTGAGACGAAAAGGAAAATTTCCATTTTTCTTCTACCCTTTTAATTTTTTTTTGTGGAAAAATCACAACCATCGAAACAAATACCTAAAATAATAAATCAAATAATAGGGGAGATCCAAAATAAGTTTACTTACCTTTTTTTTTTAATAAAAATTGCTTCCATTTATCGTTATTTCTTCATTCTAACAACTAGAACTAGTAAATGTCACAACTTAAACAACTTGTTATATCTATGTTAAGGATATTTTATGACGAAATAGTTTAATGAGGAAGTTATTTGGAATTAATTGATTAATAAAACTTACCAGTAGAAGAAATTAAGGAAACTCGTTTTGATTTTGATGGTATAAATTAATGTTCTTTTGACAGTACTTTTGACACATCATGGTCGTAGACAATCATAGCTAAATTTTTAATGTTACTAAGGCAACATTTACGTTTGTTACTTCATATTTATAAAATTTCTTTTGTGGTGTACATGCCAAATTAATGGATGATACTTAAATATCACTCATTTCAGCTCATAGAGTGCTCATTTTACATTAATTCAGTGTGCCCTTTTTTTTGGAATTATTAATAGACTCAGGAGTCACCAAATTGAAGAATCATCAAGTTGTTACGTCAATAACTTATTGAGTCTATAAGAATTTTTGATGTAAATGCGTATATGGTGCACCCGGAAAGATTACTCCAACAAGAACATCACTTAAATCAGAGTAATCAACTGTTGTGAACTCAAGAGATACTTTATTTGTGTCACAAAAAAGTGACATGTCAGAGTTAGTACTTGACTTATATATCTAGTTTAGGCCCTTTGCATGACATTCATGTACCCTCAACTTTCTTACATTTCTATTTGGCATTGAGTTTATCAGCAGAATAAGCAAAACAGTTATTGATAGATGATCAAAAAAGCACAACAATTTTTCAAAAACCAACAGTTTTAAACTGTAATCGGTTTTAACCTATCGATCAATCTCCAAAAATATTGGAATTGTAAGAGTCTCAATACGCAAGTCCTTCAATCGAACGAGAAAAATGTTGTACTCAAAACTTGTTTATAATTAATCAAAAAAGTCACCAACTTTTTGGGCATAAAGCGAAATCCTCAGCCAATGTTGCATAGACGATAGAGTAAAATGTTGTGTACGAAAATTGTTCATATTGAACTACACGAGTGTAATCCATAATGAGTTCAAGAATTGATGTCGCTATTTTCCAGGAATAAATCGAAAATCTTCATAACATGCATGGGTTACAACTTATGGGTTTTGTACTTAGAAGGCAATATAACGTGATGTCATAGTTATCCGTAGCGTCGGTTGCATCCAGATGTGATCATGCTCAACCCAATATTAACACAACTTCTCTAGTTACCTTATATGGAGCAAAGTGGTCAAGCTTGAAAATCAAGTTGATGAAAGATAATCTTTTAGAAGATATCTCAAAATTTCTGGAAAAAGCTTAAAATTGCATTGACAAAATTTTGAAATACAACAAGAATCCTGTAATTACTGTTGTACAGCGTAATTCTTGATATCTCGATAAAGTTTTGAGTATGGTCGGAATAATTCCATTGTTTTTGCTATATGTCGTCTATTATTCATTCCAAAAGTCAAGGCGAGAGATCGATATCTCCCCAACCGCCCGATGAAAAAGATTGAGGCAAAGTTTGTTGTAATCACTGAACATTTCTACATAACATATGTGAATTTAAAATTTTTCGTTCCGCAGCTTTCTTTTTATCGCGAGGTCAATGAAAAAAGTACCCGATTTTTGAAGGTGCGGGCAACTTTGTCCCCTTTGCGATTTGTTTTCGCTATTCATTATAGTTTCGCGGAAAATCGAGGTTTAGGATGCGGTTATGTCGAAAACGGCTGGGTGGATTTTAACGCGGTTTTAACCAAAATATGTCAAATAATTGCGATTGCCGAGTTTTTTTAGAGCGATTTACGCAAATTATAAATTAAAAAGAAGGGGCAGGTGGGTTACGTTCAATCGGAATCGATGGTGCGTTCCAGACTGAACGTCGCGCCGTTATTTTACCTACATAAAGATATAGAGGCGCGACGTCCTGTCTGTAACACCATCTTTTCAGAAGTGGACAAAGTTGCCGATACTCTTCAAATTGGCAACTATTTTCGTTTAAATCGCGATAAAAAGAAAACCAGAGCCGAAAATTTTCAAATTCACATGCATATGCTACGTAAAAATGTTCAGTGATTAGAATCAACTTTATCACAATTCATCGAGCGGTTGTGAAGATATCTATCTCTAAACTGAGAGGCCTTGACTTTTAGTACGGATATTAGTTAAATGGTAATTTTAGGCTTTTACTTGTAATTTAGATTAATTTTTGGGATTTTGTCAAAGGTCAAATCTTGGCGGCGCCATTCCAGATATTCCCTTAAAGTCAGGAGTCTTCCCAGTATTTTTTAAGATTCTTTTATAAAGTTAGAGTCAAACCCATGTGGTATAATAAGTAGTGGTATAATTGGACCGCGCTATACATCACTTGACTAAGCGACTTTTTATCGTTTTTAGAGATTTTCATGCTGTCTGGTAGGTAAAGGTGTAATTTATCTTGAAAAATGCAGAATGCCGAAAGACCTAAAATATTATTTGTTTTAAAGGATAAAGCTAACCGCCAATCACGTTATACGATTTCAAGTCCGATTTGCATTATACGGCTAAGAACCGACTTAGATATGACACTTAGATACACCAAGAAATTTTACAATAGAAAAAATAGATGAACCTACAATTTCGGGCCAGTGTTGTTTTTTAGATGTTAGTATAAAATTAAAAGTTTGTCTTTTACTTTATATAGAATTTAAGTCTAACTAGTTTCAGCCCTTGGCCATCTTCAGAGACTCTACAAATAGATTAACATCTCTCATCTTATCCATTTTACAAACGACAGCGGTGGGTAGCGCTAGTTAGCATAAGATATCACTATGTTGCATGTTTTTATTGCACTAAAACTAGAACTAACACTAGACCTAGAACTAGAAAGTTTCGGGTTTAGCCGTGCGTCTTCAGTTCTAGTGTTACACTAGCACTATCACTAGAACTAACGCAAGGCCTAGAACTAGAATCATTTTAAAGGATCTTTCACGACGATTACAAACATGTCAAAATCGACGTTGACATTCTTAACCGGAAGTTGACCATAACTTCTTTAATATTGAAGATAAATATGTCGTGTTTGTGCTCATTTTAAAGGATTTTTAATGAAGATTGCCAATATGTCAAAATTGAGGTTGACATTTTAAACCTGAAGTTAATTATCATATAATAGAAGTTTTATAACTGAAGTTAATCTAGTGTTAGTCACTTTTCCGTACTTTCTTTTTATTTTTAACGTGTTTTTTGGGTTATTTCACATAGATTAAAAAAAAAATCGTCGATTTTTATTAAGAAACTTGTTTGTAAAATGGATAAGATGAGAGATGTTAATCTATTTGGAAAGTCTCTGAATATGGCCAAGGGCCAGTTTAAAAGTATCAAGCTCTAGATTATTTTCTTCAAAAATGTTTACACGAATCGTCATCATTTTGTCTCTAATTTTAGTGATTAAATTTATGCCACGACTTACAGAAACAACCTGTATAAGCGTAAAATGTAATGCTTGTGATAGCTGTCATCAGTGTTCTGTGATAAAAATGGACAGGTACCAAACAATTTTCAATAGTTTGTCTATTCTGAGAAGTCTTATATTTTTGGTGAAAACGAAAATCCCGTTTTTTTCAACATTATTCATTTGTCGCTTAGTCAAGTGATGCATAACGCGGTCCAATTAAAATATATTCCTTGAATTTGGGACTTTGGCTAGGGTAACTCCAAACTTTTTTGCTGTATAGTGTCTACTAGTTATTATTGGAACAACATTTTTGTACTCTAGAATCTAACAAAAGTAATCTAACAGAACTTTTGGTTAAAATATGGCATCCATTCAGTATAATTTTAGATATTTTCGTAAGTCTTGAGTATTGTGAATGAAATCAATTTGTCTGTCAATCCAATTAAAAGCTTTGTCGATCAAACGGCGATATTTTTCGATATTTCGATACTTTTAATATTAATAAGAAAGCAGATTCTCCAAAGAAGCGAATTAAATAAAGGCGAATTGATGCAGCCCCAAATTTATCGTTGTAGTTTTACGGATAAAGCGAATAGGTGCAAGGAGATGTAAAAATTTCACACCTTCCATCCTGAAGTACAATAATTTTAAGAATCTTTTCTGACTACGCTTGACCTTCCGCTGATGAGAACAACAATAACCCAACGACACTGCAATTACGACAATATAAAGGCAATAAATAATCTCACCCTAGATAAATAGTCAGATCAATAAATAGTTTGCACGTTCACAAAATATTGATATCTTTAAACTTATTAACGAGCTAATTTCGACTTATTCGTAGGATGTATAATAATTTCACTTACGTGTAATAAAAATGTTAAAAAAATAGTTTTTCTTTTCTTGTATAAATATATTTCTTATTCTACAGTAACATATTCGTTTTATTTGCACCGCCAGAGTAAAGATATCCCTGTGGCAATGTTGAAATTTCGACACCGGGTTAACAAACAATTCTCGAGGTCCGTTCGATCGAGGATGTGAATTCCCAACGCCACGGACGTATTGTAGGCGTTTTCCAGTAGGAATTCTGTAGGACCACGGGGCACCATAACCCGACGCCGGTCGCTGGACATCAAATATTTAAACAGATCGTTGAGCGTGCAGATGCCCTGGACCAAGAGAACGACCAGGGGTTGGGATACATCCCTCCGAAGGACCCCGTAGTACGTGACCCCGAAAACGTACTCTCTTCTCTACTACTTCTCGAAAACCGGCCACAATGCATTATGCACGAAAAAAAAGATGTAAAGTACGCCGACAATTGCATTATAGGAGTGTGCATTATTCAGTTTGTGGTGGACCCAGCGATTTTCCACCCTCTCGAAAATTCCTGCATAATTGATTTTCCTCCGTTATATCGAAAATGCAAAAAAAAACAAAGAATTTAAAAGATTTTGAACTTTGAAGATGATAACTTGTGACGTTTAGTTGTAATCGTTGGTTACTATAAACTAACCAACGACTTCATTTATAGTTTGAAAACTGTTGATGTTGAAGGGTGGCACATTATCTGAATCGGATTGGTAACACAATAAACACGTCAGTACACCTCGCAGTTCCGTTTCCGGACCCCGAGCCGCTATCGACGTCGATGTCCTTCCGTTTTCGACAGTGTGGTAGCGTCGATTCGCAACCTCTCTCTCCATAGTACACACTACCCCACATACGAAATAAACGATAAGGCGTAACTTTAATTATTATCATCACCAGCAATGTCATTCAAAACCTCTTAATTTCACGTATTAGATATTGAGACAATTAAAAGTTAGGAACGTTGTTATCTCTTTTTGTAGGGCTTGGAATGTTTCCGTTTGCTTCAGGTCGATCCAACACAACAATAAATCCGAGATCGGGATCGAGCGATAACGGTTAATAAACCGACATTGAGATGTCAAAAAGGGACGCGGACCATTTTTGGACCATGCTGCCACCCAACTCGATGCCGAAACCGGATCGTATCGCACCGTTTCCTGCACTTGACTAGTAGATAACCGCTGCGGAATTGCAATCTGTTACCCCAGCTCCGGTCCCATATTAAAAGCCATCGTACCGTGCTCGAGATAAAATATTGAAAAATTCTGGAGTAATGACGCGAGAGACTAACCACCACTATACCCAAGAGAGAGGGTAAAGGGATCAATAAGAGAACAAAAAAATGTATAGGGAGAGTAGATAATGTGGAAAATATCTTTGGATGTAAAAAAAAATCTTAATGGTTATGTGGAAATGGTTATTTTGGAAATAAAGCAATAAGATAATAAAAACGGATAACAATATAACAATCTTTATTTCTAAAATGCACAAAAACATGGTACCTATAGAATTCATCAAGTGAATAAAGTTCATTTTCTATTAACATTCTCTTCACTTCCCTCAATCAATGGTAAAGCATTATACAGGTGATTTATTAGCTCACCATCAAACTTTGACATATGATCTCTACATTAACTACATGCCATCGAATAGCTTTTGCTGGAGCAGGATTATCTGTTTCTCGAAGTCTTCTGAAAGAATCGCTAAAAACTGAATAATATGGCAAATGACGCTGTGGAAATTTTTCTTGATATTCTTGTAGCATCGAGCATTTCCATTGCAAAAACCATACACGAAAATTATATCAGCATACTCTTCAGTGCTATAAGCGTACATTTTCAGTTTCTTCTTGTAAGTAATAATTAAACCTTACAGCAAACTGACATATTACAAACATAACTGTTTTTGTTGAATGTTTGATTTTACTGACTATTAATAAATTCGCTGCAGATAACTTTAAAGTGTCATAATTTCGTAAATAATTGAAACAATACATATGTTCATTAACATTTTTTTTGGTAATTGGATTAGCTATCATATGTCAAAGTTTGATGGTGAGCTAATAAATCGCCCTGTATATCTTGATTGAAATGTGTATAATGTTTGTTTATAATTATGTTTAAATTATTCGCTTTGAACCAATTGTTGGTTGCATCTAATGTTTTTTTAGTCTTTTGATCCAGAAAATCTCCTGAAGTATTTGTAAAAGAGGTGTCATCAGCATATAGACATAGAGTTCGCCTGTATATTTTGAGGCAACTCATTGATATACAATAAGAATAAAATGGAGTCCCGCACGGAAACCTGTGGTACTCCCATTTCAACCTCCCTCCAATTAGATGTTGCTTGATTCCAATAAACTTATTGCTGCCTATCAAGAAGATAAGAACCGATTAGTTATTTTCCGTTTTCTTTTATACCAAATTTTTCTATTTTCTTCAAGTGAATATTATGGTCTACAGAATCAAAAGTTTTGGTAAGATCACAGAGAAGGCTACTTGCGTGTAACATATCAAAAGCAGCTATTATGTTTTGAATTACAGTAAGAAGTGATACTTTGTTATTAATTTCTTTTCCGTTATATGTTTCATGACTCTGTTTTTTATTATAGTTTCGAAAACTTTTGACATTAGTGGTACTATTGATCATTTGGATCCCCTGGTTTTTGAATGGGAATGACTCTAACATACTTTAATTCATTTGGAAAAGTTTTCTCTCTTAAGCATTTGTTTAATAATATACATAATACTTCTCTTATTGTTGGTTCTATGCTCTGAATTCGTTTCGTTGTCATTCCATAAACATTTTTTGTATTTGTCTTATTCAAGTTTTTGAGTATCTTTTCCACTTCTTCTTCTCCAATTTCTTCTAATTGCATCTCTTCTTCTTCTTCAATTTGCTCAAGCTCAATAGGATCTTATTACCATATTGATAGTTTGGAGGTTGACAGAAGAGAATTATTTTGTTTTTTGCACCTTGTTTTTCCAGTTTCTTGCTTCACTATATTCCAGGCAGCAGTTATTTTATTTTCTGAATTCATCATAAATTGTTTATAAGCTTCTTTTTTTGTATTATCTATTAGTCTTCTAAACTTACGTTTTTTTATTTGATGCAATTCTTTGTATTTCTTTTCTTTCGTTTCTTCAGCTAACGTGTTAGTAGCATCTAAAGTGTTTTTCATCATTCTTGGGTCATCTGAATTCATTTTAGTGTTGATAGTACATGTTTTCTTTTTTGTTATTTCTCGAAAAGCAGACTGATAACACGATGTTGCGCATTAGTGTTTTGATCTTTTATTATAGTCCAATCACTATTTCTTAATTTACTTATGAAAAGTTCTATTGTTGCTTTATTTATTAGTCTTATCTTTGTATATTTGTTCTTTCCAGTTTTATTTTCAAGAATAATTGTTGTCAATTGCGCCAGATGGTCACCTAAATGCCAGTTTACTGTATTTTTTATGACAACCTCAGTAAATGTATTTATAAATGTTATCTACACATCTTCTTCCATTTACACGCTATGGTTGACTAAAGACTGATTTAAGTCCATGTTCTGACATAATAGATAAGAAATTTTCTTTGATTTTAGAGCTTTCATTAACACATGTTATAGTCTCCCATTATAAATATATTTTTAACGTTTTGAGTTTCCTTTACGAAATGTAAGACTTATCACAGTCTGGTGAGTGATATGCTATAAACACAGAATTTAATTGTGGGACTTTTACTGAACTCAGTCCAATATTTTTTTCTATGTTATATTTTTCTAAGCTATATGAGTATTTTTCCCCTCGAAAAGACTTTTCTACAATTATAAGATGCAATTACATAATTTTCAAATTTTAAAGTGTTTATCTCAACTTCTGTCATCCAATGCACTGTAATAGCAATTATGTTCGACTCTGGTTTATCTTTTAATAGATATTGTACTTGGTTTATTTTATTTTTTGATCCCTGTGCATTAATATTTATTATTTCTACATTTTTTTTGATTTTATTACTGCTTTAACAACAAAAATTTAAAAAATTACAATATTTTAATTTCAACCTTCATGATGTTCAGCATTGCCACCTTCTTTATTCTCTGTAGAATCCCCTATTTGAGCAATAACATCTGTTACACTTTCCCCATGAGCGACTTCAACGGGTGGTTTAGGAATTTCGCCTTCCATTTCTTCTTCTTCTTCTCCATCTTCTTCATCGCCTTCTTCAACTTCACTTTGCTCAGCTTTAACTGCTTCGTCTAAAGCTTCACTATAAAGATGATAAGCGTCTCCTTCCTCGTCTTCATCCCAATAATATTCCCCTTGATCGCCACCTTCCGTTTCACCTTCAGTTTCGGTGTCGCCTTTCTTCTTACCTTTCTTTCCTTTCTTCTTTTTCTCTTTTTTCGGTGCCGGTTGAGCATCCGGATAAAGTTCTATGTACTTTTGGCGTAAAGCTCCTGCATCGATGCCGCTTTTCTTATATTTGAAGCAATCAACAAGACCGTTTACGAGATCTTTATCGACTTTTTTCATTTTAAAGTTTGTAACTAAATCAATAAAATCGTTTCCTTGCATTGGAGTTTCGGGTAAAGTAAAAATAAAATGACTGAAATCTTTTTGCATTTTTTTCTTTTTCGGTGCCATCGCCATCATACGAGCACGTTCAAAAAGAAGTTTTGCAACATCCGGTCCTTTTATTACCCAATTACCTAATACGCCACCGATGGTTACCTTTTTACCATTCCTTCTAGCGCGATTATATGACTAGATAAGGAAAAGGAACTGTACTGGTTAAAAAATATTAAATTTTAAAAGTTTTATTTACACCAAGCGCATTCTTTTTTATGTAAACATTATCCATATATAGTTCCTCCAATTTGGGTCTCCTGCTTTTTGGCAATAATAGAAGTTCAATTAATGTTTGAGCTGTTTCTGGCAATATTTTATTGAAACCAAGATTTATACTCAATAATGTGTTGTTCTTGACGATTAGAGTTTTAAACATCTTACAAGTAGCTTCGGGTATCCTTCCCCAAATTAAAATTTTATTATTGATAATTGATTAATTATCATTTTTTTAACTTACATGTTATTGCTTATATCCAACTTTTCCAAAGTCTCTGTTGCTTTAGTAAATTTTAATAAAAATTTTAAACAAGGCTTTTCGGTTATACCATTCCAAGCCAAATTTAAAACACGCAAACTTTTATTCTCAAGCAAACCCTCATTCGCTAGTTGTTTCCAACCCCGAGGCGCGTTAATTATATTCCAAGACAAGTCTAAATCTTCAATGACAGCGTTTTCTTTTAAAATTTCTACCAAAGCAGGTATAGCAACATCGGTTAATTCATTTTTACTCAAGTTCAATCGTTTAATTGTCAAATGATTACATAAAGCATCTTTTATAAATTCTAATCCCTCATTTCCCAAACTGTTACAACTTAAATCCAAATCGGTTAATTTAAGCGCATTAGCTATGCCATCGGCTAAAATCTCAGCACCTTCGCTTCCGATTCTACATTCTCTGAAATTCAAGACTTCTAACATCTCATTTTCTATTAACATTTGGGCTACGTATTCTACCGATTCTGGTTTCATAAAATTCTCTTCTAAATTTAACTCTGTAACGCACGTGTTCCCCCTTAAAGCTGTTGTGATTGCTCGAAGTTGTTTATCAGATAAGCTATAATACTGAATTAAACAAATTATAAAGATATTTTAATATTGCGGAACAAGCATTACTTTTAGATACAACGTGGAAGTTTCTAGAGAACTTATAACTCTGCGCAATGTCATTATTTTCAATTCTTTACACATCGATTTATATTTTTCAAGTCCAAAAAGATCGGGTTCTACTTCAATAACTAAAAGTACGAATACAAAATAAGAAAGTGCAAAACCGCTTATATAGGTTACTGTTTAACCCGGTGTATAAAAAGCTGCATCTATCCCAGGATCTTCAAGCGGAGGAAAATGATACAAAGGATTCCTCAAGAGTGAGCTTCTGGACATGATGTATTGACCGAGACATTGAAATGATTCTGTATTTTTTTCCAAAAGTGTCTCAATAGGCTCCGCGCAAATACCACCATCAGCTGATTTTTCCTCTTCTTCTTCTTCTTCCCAAACATCTTCCTCTGCGGGAGTTCCTTCAGCCATAATAAAGTGGTTATTTATTAATGATTGGTAGATAAAAAATAAATTATTTTTTAAGTATTTATGTACATCAAAATGACAAATACAAAATTTACAGTGTGATCTACAATGTCAAAATGATGTCAAAATTAGGAAGTAAAAATAAACTTGGTGTTGTACAAAAATAATTAATTCAAATTGAAATTAAGTTTTAATTAATTTCGAACCCCGAAAACCCAAAAGGTACTAATTCATTCACCTGAGTTGTCAGGTAAACTAGGTATCTGCCACAGTATTTCAACCGGGTATACTAATACCGCTTAATAACCACGTCAAAATCGTAACGGCAATTTGTTAAGAGTTCCGGAACGGCAGTAAGTCCTTCGGAAAGGAAAACAAACAGCCGCCGCCGTCGCTGTGCCGCCTTCGAATTAAAATGCGAACGCTTACAAGAAGGGGGCAGGTGCATAAAGATGTCGTGGTTCCCTGGAAGCGGAGGCGCGCTCGCCCCCTTCGGGGGGTACATAAATTGATCTAAATTAAGCGATATTTAATTACTGTAACGCCGGGCGTGCAAGTTGATGAGCGCCAACCCGGTCGGTAATAATAATACCGAACCCTATGTCACCCAGAGAGTTGCACGTGCGTCACTCTTCTCTTTCTCTTTCTCAAAAATTCTAATTATTAGAAGCACTTAATAAAATACAACAAAAACTTAGATTTAGTATGCATGTAAAAATCATTACAAAACTTAAAACGAAATCTCGTACATGCATCAACATTTCAAAAATCAATACATACTGTTTATATGTATATCAAGGTGTTGTAAAATATCAAGACCATTCATCGCATATCGCAACCGAGGTAAACCACGTTTTTTTGGACAACTGCACAAAAACCAGAAATTACGGTAATTAATTTAAAGGCTAAGCAAGAAATCTCAACGTGCATTCTTGTCCTGGTTATATGGTATGATTTGCATTAATTGCATCTTCGAGTGTTGTCATTTAGATTAAGCAAAATGGAATTTTAGGTCCAATTAAGACATATTTGGCCATATAAATAATAATAATACTTTATTGACTAACCGTTTTATATTGGGTGATATTATTTTTAATGTGACCAAGACATTGGAAGATGTAAAGGCAAAGAATTGTTAACATTTCAAATTTAATAAATTTAGCTCTACAGCAATCCTGTAATCCCAAGTTTGCCATCACCCTAACGCATCTTAATTGAACTCCAAAAACTCGACCAATATGGACAGAATAACTCCAAGCTAATATGGCGTAGGTGGCATGACTAAAGAAATAAGCATAGTATGCGCCCGTATTCAGTTTTTATTACATGTGTTTCCCATGTGAGATCCGAGTTAGGTAGATTCCCAGATATTTGACAGGCGCCATACAAGTTTTGGATTTAGTATTCTACAAAAAGACTAGATATTGATTATAGAAGAGTAATCATCGCTGGCAGAAAGCTTGAACCTGTTTAGAGAAGATCAAATACATCTTGAAAGGCTGGATACTGCTGGTAGAAGACAAAACATTACTGGAAACAGATTAAATACTGCTGGTAGAAGACCAAATACTGTTAATAGAAGTCTAGACCACGCTAACAGAAGACGCAATTTGCTACAAAAGATTAGATATTGCTAATAAGACACTAAAAACACTAAACAGAAAATTTGACGCTGTTTCCAGTAGATCAAATACTGTTTATCAGACTAGATATTGCCGGGAGAAGACATGATATACTACAAAAAAACAGATATTGCTAATAGAAGACCAATCACCACTGGTAGAACGCTTAATACAGTTTGCAGAAGACCAAATACTGCTTAGAAGACTAGATACTGCTGACAGAAAACTTGGTGTACTACAAAAACGCTAGATATTGCTAATAGACTAATCACCACTGGTAGAAAACTTGATACTGTTTGTAATCTACCAAAAATTTAAGGTTGGTTAAGCCTGGTTTGCGTTTTGGCTTTGTTCATGCTTAGTTTATTTTTTTTTAAACCACTTGGTGATAATCGCGAGCGAATGCATTATACGGCGATGCAATGTATCGATATCATTTGCGCAAACCGTAGCTACTGTATCACCAGCAAAGAGAATCTTACTTGAATCTCTCGGAATGATTTTATGCAGATCATTGACAAAAATTAAAAACAGAACTGGAACCAGTACTGAGCCCTGGCGTACACCATGTATGATTGGTAAACGGCTAGAATCTCGCCCACAATATTGAAGTCTATTTAATAATAATTTTCATCCTTAATGAGTATTTAATGAGTGGTACCAGAGCCCTTGAAACTATCAATGATGTGATGAAGTTTAATAAAACAGCTACAACTTTGAACATAACACTAAAAAATATATTTTGCCTACATTTTTACTTCATGACATCTTTTCATTTTCTAAAATTTAATAAATATTATTTATTTTAAAACACATTTATAAATACAATTGTGCCTAATTAAGATCGCAACTAAATTTGGCTATATCTTCTAGGTTTGGAAATAATTTTTTTGTAATTATGTATTGTTTTGAAAACTGTCTAAATTTTAAATTATTTTTTCTCTTTCTAAATTTTAAGAAAGTCATGAAAAGGTAATAATAATTATTTAAATTTCAGTAACCAGCAATTTTATTCGGATAAAAAAATTGTAGAACTAACTAACACCACAACACTATAATCATGAATATAGTTGACTTCCTAGGTTTTAAATTAAGTAATACAAACAGATAGGTTTGAAACTAAAAGTATAATTTCGAGTTAAATTTTACCCATTATTTATTAAACGTGTTATTTTTATTATGAGGTTTTCCTATGATACTGCGGCCCCAGATTCCTAATAAATCACTTACTAGGAGCTTTAAAACCAATGTTGAATGCTTGTTCAAACCATTCATTAATTCGTATATTCGTTAAATTTTTTTGAGTAGTTTCTATTTTTGCTGTAAATATTTATACACCATATTACTTTAATTATTAAAACTTTATTCAATTTCTTACCGTTTTCATCCCAATTTTTTTCCATATCACCAAATCCGTCATCATCAAAAGTACCAGATCCATCAATTTCATCAAATTCTTTATCTAATTGTGTTAACGACACTGAAAAAATACTATAAGCAAGTGTAAGAGTTACTGTTGTTATGAGAAACATCTTTTACACAATGAAAGGACACTTATTCGCAAGATGCTGAAGGTGACTGCTAATTAATGCAGAACAAATAAGTAAAAAAGATGACAAGTGGTTTTATAATGGAAAAAATAAAACTCTCCGAATGGATTTAGAAGTGGACGGTGATGTTGCTGTAAGGGAATAAAGCAAAGTTATTAGAAAACATTCTCTACAAAAATATAAAGTTATAAAAGTTGTTATAAAGTTAATTAAAATTTTTGAAAGGATCGTTAGAAAATAAAATTATACATACCTAAATGTAAAATATTTCTTTTCATTAGTGTTTCATTATATAAATGACTAAAATCAGTCGTTATTATATTTACTACACTTCCTACTACACTTCTACTCTATCTTCGCCACCAGTGACACATGTTTATTCCAAAATCTTCTTTGCTCTCTTAGTGTGTTCCCTGTTATTGCTCTCAACACTCTCATCTGGATTGAACGTGCTATGATTTTGGTTTCAGCCTTTTCAGCTCTAATTTCCGCTGTGTTATGTTAATGTTATCACAGATCTAATACACGCTTTGTATATCCTCACTTTACTGGCAGTTGTCATGCAGTTATTTTACCAAACGATGTTTCTTAGGACACCCGCTATCCTGGCTGCTTTACTCATTCGATGTCCCATACTCTCTTTCAAGTTTCCATATGGCAAGATTTGTGCCTAAATAGTTAAGTTCGGATTATTCGATTATTCTGTTGTTCAGCTCTAGCTTGCATCGTCGTGGTTCCCTAGCAATTACCATCCTTTTTGTTTTTGACATTGACACTTCCATGTTGACTTTCTCAACCTCTTTGTTAAATGCCTGCAGCAGCCACTGTAGACCCTCCTCACTGTTCGCAGATAGCGTTGCATCATCCGCAGAGCACAAGACCTTTATGAGTTTGTTTCCCATTTTGTACCTTCCGTACACTGTCTATTATTTTGTCCATTATTAGAATAAAGAGCAATGAACTAAGACTATCCCCCTGTCTCAAGTCCGTGTTAATTTCTATGTCGTTGGTAGCACAATTTATTTTTATTAACTCTTTATTACATGTTTGNGTAAGGGAATAAAGCAAAGTTATTAGAAAACATTCTCTACAAAAATATAAAGTTATAAAAGTTGTTATAAAGTTAATTAAAATTTTTGAAAGGATTGTTAGAAAATAAAATTATGCATAGAAATTCAAATAAAAAAATTATGTGTAAATATAATACCTAAATGTAATATATTTCTTCTCATTAGTGTTTCATTATATAAATGACTAAAATCAGTCGTTATTATATTTACTACACTTTCTACAAGTTTAACACGTTGACTGCCGCAATAGTCACTAAAAGTCTATCCATTCTGGCCGGAACATTTTAAAATTAAATAGGCATGAGAATCAACTGGTGCTGTTGTGGAAATTTTGCCGTGCATCAAGTTACGTTTCTCATGGCAATTTGTTTCACCCATCTTACTCCTCCTCCTCTCGTTCTCGTTCCTGTGATATTGAAGTCCAACTATCAGTCCATTGCTTGGGTGGCCTTCTCGGAGGTCATTTTGGTTGGCCTTCCATTTCTAATGATTTTTAGCAATCTATCATTCGCCACCCTTGACATGTTTATTCCAAAATCTTCTTTGGTCTCTTAATGTGTTCCCTGTTGTTGCTCTCAACATTCTCATCTGGTTTGAACGTGCTATGATTTTGGTTTCAGCCTGTTCAGCTCTAGTTTCCGCTGTGTATGTTATCACAAGTCTAATACACGCCTTGTATATCCTCACTTTACTGGCAGTTGCCATGCAGTTATTTTTCCAAACGATGTTTCTTAGGACACCCGCTATCCTGGCTGCTTTACTAATTTGATGTCTCACACTCTCCTTCGAGTTTCGATATGGCAAGATTAGTATTAGATATGGAAGAGAAGGAAAACA